TAATCTTTCAGTGTTCTAGGGAAGATTATACAGACTGTAGGGAATAGGACTAAATCTAGAGGAATGAATGTTGAGTGTATTCTCGCAGATCAGAAGGTAGATACTTGGGAACCAAAAGCATGCACTGTAAAGTTATATTTATGAAGCAGAAAGAAATTGCATGATGAAGAGAGCTGGTTGTAATTGGGGAAAAACCAGTGAATTGAAAATCTGGGCCATATACAGCTATAATGATGTAAGTAATCTTTCCTCAAGTTTTTGATATATCTGTTTGGTTCCAGGTACCTGAGACAGATGGATGAGAAATGTTGCTAGTTTTTCTGTATGAAAAGATTATTCCCAACATGGGAAGACTCGTTGTGTACTTGGATCATAAAGTCCATGCTGCTTTTTGGGATGGGTTGACCCTGAATGTGGTTTGGGATTTCAGCTCCTCCTCTAGTGAGATCCAGGTAACTCATAAGTTAGAGGAAGGACTATTCTTAAAACTTTTAATTCAGAAAGTGTTACTAGGAAATCAATGAGAAAATGAAGCAAAAGTTCTGATGCCTATAAAATACAAAAATAAAAAATAATTGAAAATTCTACAGGTTTGGAGACGTTTCTATGCACTTTTAGAAATAATTTATTCTTGAATAGCACAAAGCAGGTGTTGGAGCTATGCCAAGGCCTTTTTCCCCTGCATTTGTCATAGCAGACTATACCACAGAATCACAGAATTAGTTAGGTTGGAAAAGACCTCCAAGATCAAGTCCAACCTGTGACCAAGCACCACCTTGTCAACTGGACCATGGCACTGAGTGCCACATCCATTCTTTCCTTAAATACCTCCAGGGACAGTGACTGCACCATCTCCCTGGGTAGCCTGTTCCAATACCTAATCACACTCTGTACAGAACTTCTTCCTAATGTCTGACCTAAACCTCCCCTGGCACAGCTTAAGACTGTGTACCAGATTCTGTCCTTAGCAAAGCACAAACTTATAAGTGTTTGAACTGGATCGTTCATAGATACTTAATTCTTAAGTTGGCAAGTTATACTTGCTTTTTCTTCTTCAGACTGCAGCAGAAGATTAATACTTGTAATGTTTTTTCTTTTAAGGTAAATGAAGATATAGGCTGGTGTAAGTTAACTACTCCTGATGGGGTACAGCAGTTAATACAAATAAGTCATCCTGGAGTCTATGAAAGGTATAAACAGTTTAAGCAATTTAAATATAAAATAATCCTGTACAAATCCATTTAGATGAAGAAGCAGTATTTACTGACAATATACTGGGAGGGCTGAACCAAACACATAATGATAAAAGCTCCATCTTACATCTGGCAAAGATTCAGGACCTGTATGACCCAGGGCCACTGCATGCTGTCATTACATCATAATTGTTACTGCAATGTCTTTTTAGAAAAAGAACTAGGGCTGCAACTTGGCATTTTCCTCAGTGGATAAGAAAAAACCCCAAAAGCATTTGTCCTGTGTAGAGCTGGTACATAAAACTGGACAGCACTTTATCCAATTTTTGCTTTATTACAGATAATGACCTCTGCCTGCAGATTACTTTCTGTAATCTCCTTGCTCAAATTACAGCCTCATTATGGGTATCATCAGAAGCTTACTGTGCTGCATTTTAGCAAGCAGATATTCACAAACAAAAATAACCACTTGTACACTATTCATCACAAATTATAACAGCTTTGTTACAGTTTTCTGTAACAGCATAAATCTAAATATGAAGTAGATTCTGGACAAAAAGTGTGAATCAAAAAATGACAAGGTGAACTAGAGAAAAAGCTAGATTTCGAATCATAGCTTTTTCTTTCAGATCCAAATGGATTGCTTAACACTTTCAGGTTTTTGCTTAAATTAATAGTTTGTTTTTCATATAAATAACTGCTTTTTGAATTTTCATATTTACATAGGTACATCAGAACAGCAATAGAATGGTGCAGAAGTTTGAGTGAAAGGAAAGAGATTGCTGAATATACTGTGCACTCTGTAACTGAAGAAAACTGGTATTCATTGTTGTCCTAAAAAATTGACTATAAATAATGTTGAAAACAAAACTCAAAAATATTATAAACTGCGAATTTTATAGAGATTGCATTTCCTAGTAGTCAAAAAGACCATTTATTTTGTATGGTTTCATATTTTTCATTCCATTTTTAAAATGTCAGGTGGGTTCCAGGTGGAGGTTGTTTCATTGAGCCTGTCTTACTTAAATATCAGAATTATGGTGACTTGGCTAAAGGAGGATTAATGTTACAGAGATAGTATCTTGCAAGACAAAAAAAGAGAAACTGGACAAAGAAAGGTGTCTCTTAACAGAACATCAAGCAATTCAAACCAGGATTTTGAACTTAGCAGTTGTATCTCTTGCTGATGTATTTGCCCTTCTTAACATGCTATTGACCAGAAGTCTACTGACATCACATACAAACACATTTGGGTATTAAAAATGTGTTAATTGATGTCAATTACACTTGTACTTCTTACTTAAATTATAGCAGATTCAGCTGATACATTTTATAGCTGATGAAATGAAAATCGTATCTATATTTATAGATACATAGAGCAAAGAGACTATTCTTAGAGCAGAGCCTTGATTTTTGGGAACACAAATGATTAATAAATGTCAGCCATTGGATAGTGGTATGAAAGACAGAAATAAAGCATTTTTTTTTACTTGGATTCTGCTGATCTAACTTTCAGTATTGCTGGAAAGTGTTAAATAAAATCTGAGTTATAAAATGTCTTTGAGAACCTTTTATTATACTAAATAGTTTAATAACCTTTTTTTTTTTTGACAGGTCTGCTGATGCTGAGCTCAAAAAAATACAGAGATTTAATTGTGTCGTTTTGAAAGCTGTAGATTTTTCACTTTTATATTCTGCTGTTCATCTGTATGTTCAGATATTCACTTTAGATCATCAAAGGCTCTCTATCCCGCTCCTGCTTTTTTTTACTCCCTTACTCACTTCTTAAAATTACCTCTTTTTCTTATGTATCATTTTTGTTTTATCACTTATCTTGTCCAACTTCTACATCACAGCACCAAAATAAAAAAGTCACTGAAAAACAAAGCCCTTTAATGGTTGTTGCATCAGTTTTGCTAAGAGTCATCTGCTGATCTGTTCTTGAAAGACGGAGAAGGCAGTTGCCTTGGGGCTTGTTGCTGCAGTACAGTATCTTTCTGTTTATCAGCTACTTTATTATTGTTTTATTGTCTTCAACCAGCTCAAAATGTGTGCTGTCCTGAATCTGCTTAAAGCCACTCTATAATTGTCTTTAAACCAGTGTACAATTCAATTAGTGTGAAATGTGCACACTGTTAAACTCCAGTGTAACGTTAGTTTTCTTTTTAAAGTAACTCTTGGAAAAATTGAAGTCTAAAAGACATTTTTATATAAATGTTATAGACATTTTAAGTAATATACCATCTTTATTCTTTGGCTATATGTAATTATCATGCTACAAAATGTGAGACTTTGCAATGCAGAATGATAAATACAGACACGCAGAATTATTCTTCTCATTAGGAGGAAGAGTTTGATCTTTTTCCTTAACAAAGTAACACTAGTTTTATTAGACTGTAGCAATGTTCTGGAAGGGAAGAATGCTGCAAAATCCAGTCCATCTGGTATTGCTGTCAGAAAAAATGAAAGCAGGAGCGAATCAAAAGAACTCAGTGTCAGGTGTGTCTTGAAAGCTTTGGAGAAAACTTCTAAAGTCATTCAGGATATTGAACCTCTGCTTGCAGCTTCTGGGAAGTGAAGCTTCATAGCAGATGAAGACCCGTGTTCCGTGTCCTCATAGGAGCTGTCCCAGCTGTGTCTGAGGGAGCTCTGAGGGGCAACAGGAAGGCTGAAGTTGCCATTGTAACACCCGTGAAGTCTGTGAGCTGCCACTGTAATGTCAGTAACAGTGCCAGCGGTATATTTGGTACAAACAAAGAGAACAGGTGAAATAGTAGAGCACAGCTGTATAAATACATCAAGGCTGACCTGACCTCGCTACTTTTAAATGTATGAAGTTGTGTTTGAATCAACTGATTTTATAGAACAGCTTAGTGAACTCCTGAGCTGACTAGAGTAGGGATAGGCAGTTTTAATTGTAAAAACATGCTTTTATTCAGAAGCTTACCCAGTCCAATAAAATGTTTCCCAAATGCTTTATATTTTTATTTTTTTTTAGTAAACAAATAATTTATATCAGGGCAGAAGACGCCTTTCTCCCAGCGGTATAACGATGGGTCATCTACCACCACCACCTGCGTCTCCTAGAACGCTTCCATCAACGCTGCTTCCGTACAATCCTAAACATCCACTGGTCAGATTATGTGACCAATACATCTGTTCTAGAACAAGCAGCAGTCACAAGTATTGAGGCCATGTTGCTGAGAACACAGCTTGTTGGGCAGGGCATTTCAAGGATGAAGGACCACCGCCTCCTAGATCTGCTTTTTATGAATGCGCCACTGTTGCTGCCGCAAGGAGGGAGAAAAATGAGAACAGGGGACTGAAGGCTTCAGCCTGCCTTGATGATCCACCTGGTTGGTTGGCCTTCCAATTCGGGGAGGCCTGGAGACACACCATCTATAACACCGTTTCCTTTGAGAATGCACGCAGGATCACTCTTGAGGAGAAAAGACAACGCAGAAAGAATCGAATCCTGCTGAATACACCACCTAAGGAGTCTTTCTGCTGTGCCTTTTGCAATCGGAATGTCTATCTCGTATGTGACCTTCATAAGTCACCAGGTGCTGTAATCACGTGGATAGTGCTTCCTAATCTTCGTTCGCGAAGCCTAGCCATGAAAATGAAGGATGATAACGAACCATAGCACGAACACCCAAACACTGTTTTTAAGCCCCCCCCCTAAGAAAAACTTCTCCCTCATAACCGGGGCGGGGCGGGCCTGGGAGGAGACAAGGTTGATGCGGGTCCCAGGCTGCTCCGCGGCCACGCATGCTTCCTAACGCGCTTCCTACTCCGCTCCTGCCGGGATCGGGGCGGCCGGGGCGCCTTCCCCTCATGGGGTGAGGGTGCCGATGGCCGCGGCCGCGCTCCAGGTGGGATCCGGGGCGGGCTGGGCACGGGCGCGGCGGCTCCCGGCCCGTCACCCCGCGGGGGCTCCGGGCTCCCCTCACACCCCGGGCTTTCAGGTTAATTTCCTGCTGGGTTAAATTTAGTTGGTTTTTCAGCGTCTTGGTAAATCCTACGGGTTCCTTCTGGGCTTTTGTCCTTTCCCGCCCTCCAGCCTCAATAATAGATTATAGTTATCTGACCCAAAAATACTTGCATTGCCAGATCTTCATAGATTGTAGGCTGGGATCTCCTTTTCCATGAGTTAATATGCTTAAGGTTTGAGCTGGTGTCTTAAATGGTAATTCTGCGTCATGCAGTTTTTAATATAAATTAACATCCAATATCAAGTATTAAAGTTTTTAGGAGATAGTAGAGTTTTAAGGGGCTGCAGTCTTTTGACTTCTTGCATAAAGTCCAAATAATTCTGCTGGTTGACATGGTGGTGTTCGGTCACAGGTTGGACTCAGTGGCCCCAGAGGTCTTTTTGAACCTAATTGATTCTGTGATTCTGTCATTTTATGCATTAAATACCTACACGTTTTCCCATACCTGATAACGTCTTGCAAAACCTGGAGAAAAAATCTGGGAGAGCAGTATTTCTAAGTGATAATTTTAGCCACTGGAATTTTGTTTTGCTCATACAGCATGAGTTGAAAGGCCTCTTAGTGTCTCTTTTCCCCAAATGCACATTTACAGGTTTGACGTAGATATCTTGTGTCACTAATTTAAAGTGTTAACTGTGCAGTTGGTAAGGTATTATTGGTAACTTTCTTAAATTACATTAAACGTATCAGCAAAATTGCATTTTGAGGGTGTAGGCATAGATTATGTATAGTGCTTTATCTCATATAAAAATGACATGAAAAATCACAACTCTAGGCAGTGTTACTCTGTCAGCTTTTGTGTTTTATGTAAAACCAACATAAAGCTTCCCTTCAGCATGTTAACTGGACTGACCACCCAGTTTAAGCATTCCTGTGTGAATTATTTCCCAATTTTATGTTTTAACAGGAATGTAAATTCCACCAATATGCTTTCTGAGATTTATAGGATAGAAAAACATATGACACTTTACTGTGATATTTTGTAAACAGCTTGAAAATCATAATTTTTCAGCCAAAAGAAGTTTCTAGTTCTACATTAAATTTATCATTTCAGAAAAAAAGGGTTTCTAGGTTTACATTAAATTTATCATTTTAGAGATTATTTCTAGTCTGATTTCACTCTTGATTTGCATAATATTTATAGTTAATGTTGTTGTGCCTGGGAATGTGACTTGATTTTTATACATTTTTTTTTTTTCTAAAAAGGTGGCAGAAATAGTCTGTTTAAAAACAACATTTAGACATGGCTCTTCACTGAGGTCAACCTGAAGCCAGTTTTGCATCCTGTTTTTCATTCTGTATGAAAGAAACCCATTCACATACAATAGTTCTTGTCCAGTTGGCATTATTACCTTTATTTCATGATACATAATTCTCAAATCATACTCATTTTGGATTTTTAAAGTCTGTAGTGTTACTTGTCTTGTGTACTTTATGCACATGGTAATACTATTCATAGCAAAACAGTGTAAGTCTAACACCAAATTGACACCGATTTCTGTTGCTGTTTCAGTCTCTAGATCTCTGTTTATCTATTCCAAGGCCACTTGGTAATGGGGTGAAATTAAAAAACAGATCCCCGATTGTGACTCGTAAATGTTTCATTAGGTGGGAATCTTTCAGTCACAAGAAGGGATCTGTTAAAATAGATTGCTCTATATTTTGAAAGGCAGTTACTTAAAAGACTGGAAGTGTTCTTTTCTGAGTTTACCACTTTGGGGTTTATTATCTTTTAATTATTATTGTGTTCTGTCTTTATGTGTGCTCTTCTCTTGTTTTATGGTCTTTTTTTCCTGCTTTCTTTAACAGCAATTCAAAGCCCTAGCTGGAAGTTGCTTTTAGCTCACTTATATTTGTTCATGAATGAATTCAATATATGTTTATCCTTTCTGGTTTTTTTTACTGTTGCTCAGATTTTGTGTGTGTTTTGTAAAACGTTTGAAGAGCTTTGTGTGGTATCAGTCTTACTGCTGCCTTGTTTCTGTTATTTAGAATGGAACAAATGGTGTTTGGTCTTTCCTGCTTTGGACTGGGCAGACTGGATTCAGAAAGCACAGAGGCTCAACTCTGAGGCAGAGACCACATCTGCTACTGGAATAAGGCACTTGCAGTGGAAAAAAGTATGTCCTCCTAGTCCCAGGATAAGTTTGATTTTGAATACCGGTGTGCTTTTTAAAGGTATGTTGCTGCATCACCTCTGCACAGATTGGATTCTTACACAGATTATGTGGTATTTTTAAGTGAAATCCAATCTGACAGGATGGTTATATAGAAGAAACATTTGTGAGGAGATCACCATTTTTTCTTTAAAATGGAAGTTATTCAGAAATGTACTGTAAAGTCATCCACTAGAAAATTGCACTTAGAGTGTTTTAGGAAATATTTTGTGTCTACACGTTCATTCAGAAGAGGCACAGATGCCAAACTTGACCTACTTTTTTTCATCTCTGTACAAAGACTATGTATTATTCATGTTTTGCCGCGGTCCGAATGGGGGGAAGGGGCTGTGGCACAGCACGGGTTCAGGAGCCAAGGTGGGGTGCAGGTAGAATGCTATATTCAAGCGTGCACACTATTTTTTTTATCAGCTCAGGAGGGGAAAGGGCCAAAACATGGGGCGGAGCATGGGACAGACAAGCGGGGGGACAAACCAGGATAGGGACACTGGCAAAAGGGGAGGAGAGTAGGAGGAACCGGGAAAGGAAGGGGCGAATGGGGGCTGTCTCCCCTCTGCAGCTTCTCCAGCCAACCAGCAGAGAAACAGGGAAGCAGGGAGCCTGGGCATGCCCGGGAAATATAAATTCTGGGGAAACATACAATGTGTATGTACATAATAACTGTAAAGTCTGCATCATAAAGTCCTTTCGATCTCTGTACATAGTTTTCCACTTCTGAAATCGTTCCCATTCTGATTCTTGGTCCTCGACAATGCTTTCTTCTCTTTTTTTTTTTTTAATGTTTTCCACAGAAATGATTCAGCAGGCTTTTTTTTTTCTATAAAGATGCCAGCAGACATGTCTTGCAGATAATTCTACAATAAGCAGGCATGGAAATAGTCTGGAGGAAACATCTTACATTTTCTGAGACTTAAAATCAATAATATGTTTAAACTGTTATGTGTCAACATTGTTATTCGTTTTCAGAGGAATTCTAATGCACTCACAAAAAGTGCCTTTAGAACAAAAGTTTACCTAATAGAACTGTATGAAGACAGATTATCAGGGTTTAATGTAGTGCACAAAAATGGCAAATTCATGGGAAGAATCCATTTTTAGATAGGATATAGACTTCAAAACTGTGGTCTATCCCTGTGGCTCCCCAAAAAGACTAGCATAGCAGTTAGAACAGGTAGAATTGGTACTATCCTTCAAAGACAGCTTTTCAGTATGTTTAACGTAACAAAGCTAGGGAATACTTCATTAACATGAGGACTTTTTTTTTCAAAAGTGTTCTTTTTAATGTTATCACATAAATGAGTACTGTATTTTTGAAATCCAGGTATCCTATAATTGTTTTGGGGGAATGAGATGGAGATCTTTCAGATCTTTAATTATTTTTGGAATTTCTTTTGAGATGTAATTACTTAAGGTGAGTAATTATTCCCAAGAAATCACTTCTTATCAGAGGGTTTCATAGAAGTCACAGAACATAAATAGGTTCTAAGAACTTCAGAATTATTAATAATGTATATAACAATGCCATTATTTTCAAACAGCAACTTTTGAAAAGTAAAATGACTGGGATTAGTTAATTTGCTTTTTTTTTCTCTGCAAAAAGAGGAGTTTTGAAGGTAATGTGGCAGACAACTAACTAACTAAAACTAACAGCAGAATTTGCTGCTGGAGAACATACTGAGGAAAAGCATATGTAGTTTTCTCCTGTAAGCACTCAGTTTTGGTTACTTTGGTTGACTGAATGGTTGTTGTCTTTGTGTTTATCATAAATAGTGAAGATATGTAAGTGGTTCTGGTTTTCTTAAGGCTTATTCTACGTCCCAGTCTCCAAACTGAACAAGGAGATGCTCAGGAAAGTGTACAAGGGTGATAATACATATGTTTGCAAAATATGTAAGTTAAAATAGTACTTTGGATTATAGATTAAAATTCAGTTTTAACAGTTGTCATATAGAGAGATCTGGGATTTTTGAGCATCAGTCCTAGGAATCCTCCATATTGGGTAATCTTTTGTTGTTACATTGTAAAGTATTTAATTCAATTAATATAATGTATTTAAGACCAGGAGGAGTCTTGAAACGTATTATCATAGGCGTGTTTCAAATTACTTTGTAAAATTTAATATTGCAGTAAGTGCAATTAGAACTTTCCATGTTATTTGTGCTTGCTCTAATTAAAACAGGACAAGTGTTTTAATTCCGAGCTGTGGTGTTCAAGTCAACAAATTACCTGAAACTAAAAATTCCCTAGAAATATTAAGTGCAAACGTTGAATTTGGGGGTTTTTTTATGCTCAGTTTTAGTTGTGATGAATGCTTTGTGCTAATGGATTTTTTTCTTTAATAATTTTCTTTCTGATCTCTGACATTTTCCGAACAGTGACAATACAAAGGACAATGCACAGTGTGTATCCTGATGACATTTGGTGTGCTGTGACATGGCTTTTGTCATGGCATCTGAGACTGAAAAGGCCCACGCTCTTCTCCAGACTTTCAGCGCAGCTTCAGTTATTTCCAGTCTAGGTTTGGGGATATTCTGCTTCATAGCAGACAGACTTCTGCAGTTTTCCTTCATTCAGCAAAATGACTGGCTCCGAGCCTTCTCTGATAATGCAGTGCATGGTATACTGGGAATGTGGTCCTGGGCCATAGTGATTGGACTCAGGAAGAAAAGTGACTTCACTGAGGTCACTCTGGCTGGCTTCCTCGCCTCTGTCATTGACGTGGACCACTTCTTTCTTGCTGGATCCCTCTCCTTAAAGGTAAGTCAATAGATCAGTAATTTATTTCTTTTATTTCTCCATCACTGCTTACTTTATTGTCCTAAACACGAAAGTTAGATATCTGGAATTATATGCAGGTTTTATGATTTTAAAAGCCATAAAATATTCTATTGTTAGGTTTCTGCTATTTAGAAAAAGAGTTCTGAAAGCTGTACATGCTATCCTATGTGTATCATGTAGTTGCTTTGTTACCCAAGTTAAGCAGTTAAGTGTTGCCTTGCACGCTTTTGTGTATAAAGTGGATTATTTCATTTCTGTTTACAGTAAGGGTTAGAAATATCTGAAATGTGAGGCAGAACTATCTGCAAAGTAGATGATAGAGCTGCTGTTTGATTTCATTCAGTCTTTCTGAGTAATACATTTGGATCCCATACACAGTCACCATCACAGTGAAAATGTGTTCCCTCCCAGGAACCTCCTGTGTTTCAGTCCATTCCCATTGCCTCTTGCTCTGTCAGTGGGTACCAGGAGCCTGGCTCTGTTCTCTTTATGCCCACTCTTCAGCCTGGTTGATTAATGGATCCTATAATGTTAACATTATGGAATAGAATTTAAATGTCTTAATTATTCTCATTTTTATTTTCTTGTTCTAAAATCAGTACATGCATACAAGTAATGAATGATTAGCTATTAGAAAGTATTATTGAAATTAGACTGCTGCTTCTTGCATTTGAAATGATTATCAGTATTTTTTTCTTAATTGTGAACACTAGATGTCTCTCTTCACCGATGTCTGTTTGGAAAATTGAGTATTGAATTGTGTCATGGAACTGGGAGGTGATCTGTCTCTTTGCTGCTTTCAGTGAGGCAAGGTTAAATATTCTTACACTTTCCATGATTGAGAATGTTTGTGTATCTGAAACACAGTAAATTATTGTAATTTCTTGAATTAATTTGTTCCTGTGTTGTTTCAATTCCCAAGCGGCTAGCAATTCATTTTCTAATCCAGGCTACTGTTGTTGACATTTAGATCTTGTTTTCTTATTCTTTAAGGTTTTTCTGCAAAAGACAGCTAATTTCTCTGCTCTCCCCCAAAATGTTTTCCACATCAGAAAGACACAATGTGGCCAGTAGAATCATAGTCCTTTCAGTAGCCAAACTTATTTAGCTGAGGTAAGGAGAAGAACACAAGAAGTCCAAAGGGTTTTTCAGAGTGATTTGCCTACAAACTCCGTCCTTTTCCATATGTTAACTGGGCTAATAAACGATGTTTAAAAAACATGTAAAAAACTGTAAAACATATCCAGTGTAGGTCCCTTGACTCTTAGAGCAGTAACAGCATTACAACTTGCAAAGCCATTATGCTTTACAAAAACTCTCTTCTCAATTAAAATAACTTTGAAAAAAAAAATTGTACAGGGCTGGGTTTATGTTTTCTAAACCTCATACTGTTTTTCTCCTCTCCTGGATTGCCTTTTGTCTGAATTATCTTCAGGGTCCTGTCCCAAACTATGAGTAGTATTTTAGGTGAGACTTCATATGAGCCAAATAGCATAGATTAATTCCTTTCAGTGGCACACAGATACAACACTTTTGTCTTTTTAAAAAGGAAAAAAATCACCTGTTACAAGTTTTACGTCTTCTACAGTGCCATCAGTCTCTTTGGTTTGTGATGTAAGATAATCCCCATAAACTTTTCTGCAGTGTGCTGTCTGGCAAGCTAGATCTGATTGTAATGTGTGATTTTTCTTTCCTCAGTTTAATATGATGCACCTCTCAGTTTCATGTCATAATTTCAGGCTAGTTCCTATGTAATTTATTACTTCATGGGATACTTTTTTACTATGTATTTGTTAGTTACAGTCCCATTCTTCGTCTTTAAATTGAAGGATTGAGAGTAATTGATTTATGACACTACAATGTTTACTGCTTATGCAACACATTACTAATCAATTAAGAAGTCTAATTAACTATTAACTAATTAACTATTAACTATTAACACCACTATTACTAATTTGTAACAATAGTACTTTTCACATTACACAATTACCTATAAAGCTCTTTATCATCACTTTTCAATCTGATGACAGATTAACATTTCTGTGCAATGCAAGGCAGTATTGCCTTCTGCCTCCACTTGCTACCTTCACACTACTCCAGTCACCTACTTTTGTTCCTGCTGATGCAGCTCATTACCTGGATTGTGTGGCCATTGGTCTGTTTTTCATGGCCATCATTATTTTTCTGGAGTATTCAGGGTAAATAGTCACCTGCGGTATTTATATGTTTGCTCTAATAAATACTTGTGTACCCAGTACCATGTGATCTGCCCTTTTGCCCACATTATTTTTGCAACAAGTATGAAGTCTACAAGAACTTCACTACTTGGAATTTGTAGTTCTTTGCACTGTGCGCCCAAGTGTAGAAGAATCAAGGAATCACTGTTTGAAGAATCTCTTTCATTGACTAACCCTAAAGGTGATAGGTACTGCAGCCTGTCATCAGTCAGGATTGCTGATAGAGCATGAGGGGCTGCTCCCAGTGTCCCCCAGGATTATAGCCTAGACACTCATGTTGCAGAACAGACTTGCAGAAATTGCTGTATTGCTACTGAAGACTCTGAAAGTGTAGAAAATGCAGTTGGTGGCAAACAGGATTGTACCAGCAAATATACATGGCACAGCTGGTTAATGTGCCACTGCTGATCAACATGGGCTGAACACAGGCATTTCTGGAACTGGAGAATAAGCTTTGCACAAACACAAATAATACAGTGTTGAATGTGACACTGTATTGTTCACATTATTACTATAATATAACTATATATGTTACATTGAGTATGTTACTATAAAATAAGGACTTCAGGCTTGTGAAGAGTCAGAGGATATGCCTGAGAGAGCCTGTGTGGTTACTTAACATCCATGGTGTTACTGTGAGCAAAGAGTTTGCTCACATGCATGTGATTATTGTCTCCTCTCTCCAGCTGCTCACTGCAGTGCGTGCGAGGGGCTGGAGGAGCAGGAGCTTCCAGATCATCTTGCATCTGATTGAACATATAGGTTCATTTCATGGAAAAGGGCATTTGCGAATAAATTCTGTTTGCAACATTTTTCAGGCAGTTTAAGGTAGAAAATTGTACTAACTTAAATTATTTTTTTTAAAAGATCTGTTGATTTCTAAATGCAAACAAATCTGTTGATTTCTAAATGCAAACAAATCTGCCTGTTAGGAGAGTGTAACTGCTTATATTGCCAAACAGAATTACCTGTCTGTCTCTTGGGCTTGGCAACTCAAGGATATAAGTGTTCCTCTAGTCACAGGATGTAAAAGTGGAAACGGACTATTCTGAGCAACTATTGCTGGCCATAGCATTTCAGAAGCCTAATAGTTGTACTGCTGTTATAAAATAGGGCTTTCTCTTGCTGAAATTGAACACACAGGTTGGCTGTATGAACAACCCTGCCCTCTAAAATTTGTAGGAAAAAAATTTAAGCCTGACCTTCCCAAAACTGGATAAAGATTGGCACCAATATTGTAAATTGGGTATGTAAGTAACATTAAAAATATCCTTACTCACTGTCTTGCTATTGGTACCTAACATCAATAGGGCAGAGGGAAAAGACTAATTTAGACTTTGCTACTGATCTTTTCAAAGTGCAGAAATAAAGATCAGTCAGTAGGCTATCTGCCAAAACGTATCACTGTCCAGGTTTTTTCAGAATTAGGCTAGTATGGACTTTTGAGGTTCTTGTTCACAGTGAGAAAAATCTGACTCTTTGCAGGACAAGTGATAAACAATTTCACCATTGCAAGATTTTTCTATTTTAATCCATGAACAATCTGCTTGCGTGAAACAGAAATTAAGTTGTAGAAAACACACCTTTTGAACCAACTTAAAGGTCCATAACATTAACCCAGACTTGGGTCCGTAACATTACAGTTAAAAATGGTTGAGACAGTTTGTGAGATTTTTAATCCCATCACCTGAATATGAGTCAGGGACAAGCATGTGATGGGGAAGCTAATAGGGTAAAGCTTTCTGCAGGCCTTGTAATGTTGGCTTTGGTTTAAAGCAGAGGCTGTTATATTCCAAGGTAGTCCATAACTTCCCATCTCTGTACTACTTAGCTACGGCTACATCAAAGTTTCCTTTACAGAGAATACAGGGTTCCAAGCAGTTGTCTAAATTGTGCATGAAAGCTTGACGAAGCTGTTCCAGAGTCCCACTACCAGGTAACTCCTGCTGTTGAACCCTGCAGCGATTAAAGACAACCAAAGACCGAACAGGATAGCAATGCTCTGATTGCTTTCTGCATTAGTTACACTGAGGGGTTGTTCAATACAACTGTGAGATACACCATCAAGTTACATCTCTGGTGCCTTTGACAGTCCTTCCAAATGTTCACCAGTATCTGCACCTGTATAGATCTTTTAGTAATGTGCTATCACTTCTCCTGTGCTTACAGAAAAATGAATCTACTTATTTGTCAATAGTATCTTTAAAGATACTATTACTTTTTTTTTTACAGTGTTTGAATTTGTGGCAGTGGTTCTAGCTGCTGCTAGTAAGTACGTCCACAGGATATTTTCTGAAATATGTACATTGAATTTACATTATCACTTCTTAAAATGGCTAAATCAAATCTCACTAGCTAGATTAAAACTAAATATAAGGCTTTCAACTAAGTTAATGTTAAACAAATAGTTGATACAAAAAAAAAAGTCACAAATGTTTCAGATGTGGGCTTCTGAACTTTGTTTTGCCTGTCTGTGAAGAAGACTGTCTCAAGGCAATCAAAATATATGTAACTTTGATCCCATTTTTATTGTACTGAAAATTACTGTTCTGTTTTAAACATTGTGCAACTGAAACAACTTTACAAGTGCTAACTGTAGTAAAATACAAAATGGACTTTTAAAATAAATGCCATTAAACCGTATGATTTATTTCAAGTAAAGCATATTAAATATTTCAAGTGTATTGGTTGCTTGTTTTCCTTTTAATTATCTTGAAATTCAATACAAATAGTCGGTGCAGCAGATTATACAAGTTCCTGTGCACCATATGACTGTATGACAAGTAGGATACCTCCTCCCTCTCCCTCCCTTTCTGTTGATAATGGGTAGTAGGATGCATGATTCATATCATACAGTAGAGAGATAGGGGAGCACACAGGTCTCATGCATAAAATAGTCATATTGTTAGTTTTGATTAACTGTAGTGAAAAGGAGTGGTTTTTCTTTGCACTTCCACTTAGTCACCTGACAGTATACCTGTAAACATCCATGAACCTTATTATACTTTTCTTTCCTGCAGGCTGCTCTGACTCTTCCACGGAGACCACTTCTTCATTGTTCTACCATGATTCCCGTTGTGGCTCTGACATTAAAGTTTATTATGCACCTTTTCAGGCTTAAGGACTCATGGTGCTTTCTTCCCTGGATGTTGTTCATATCCTGGACTTCTCATCATGTCCGTGACGGGATTCGTCATGGCCTCTGGATCTGCCCATTTGGAAAAACTCCTCCTTTGCCATATTGGCTGTATGTGGCAATTACAGCATCTTTACCTCATCTGTGTTCATTCATCATGTATTTAACAGGCACTAGAGAATTGATGTCTATAAAACATGGAATCCACATTGATGTGTAAGAATGATGGCTTTTAAAGGCTGTTTGTATTATCTCCTGGCTGTCTCTTACTGAAGGGGTTTCTTTCTGTTTCCTACACCTTCCAAGTTAGGCATTTTAAGGTTGTGGAGCCAGTTACAGCTGTGTCAATTCCTTGTTGTCATAGAACCTATTTAATGAATGGTGATAATTTTATATCTATACATTTCCCTCATAAAGCATGTGATCTCCCATGATAGCTCATGCATAGCTAGCTGATTTATAAAGTTCTTAGTCTCTCTCTGTAGTAATTGCATTACTGTCATGGATTTTATTGTCATGGTGCCATTCTTCTGATCACCATTCACTTTGGATTTGTATTTTGCCTTTAGAGAATACATTTCAATCTAGATAGTATTTGTATAGCGCTTTAAAAATATAAAGTACTATATAAATGCTAAGTATTACTGGGGATTTAATAGTGTATGGCAGTTGTAAAAAAAATGTTAGCCTTTTGAATTTATTTATTTGTTTGTTAAGAGTCCTGCTGGACTCTTATATTGGACTGTTTTAAAAGAAACACTGTCTGTATTTCACACTGTGCAGCTGTCTATGCACCTCTTCAAACCCTGCTATCATGCAGACAGTAAATTAGTAAATTCTGTTCCCCTGTAGTTGCTTGGTACTAAATTTGCAGATAATTACTAGCTTCGTGGTTAGAAAAGAGAAGGAAGTTTGGTTATAGTATTATGATGTGTTGACCAAATTGTTTTTAATTTTTAAAAATGCACTAATTATGAATACTACTGAATTTGAAACTAAGGAATTTTAGTAAATATTTAAGGGTTGTGTGAAGGCAAACATTTATTACAGTAAAACATAAGCTTTAGAGAAGATAGAAGAAAACAAAAATTGCTCAAAATGTGTTTGCTTAAAGACATTACTGTCTTACTGTACTTGTAAATGGCATTTTCCATTAAGTGCAATATCATCCTCATAATTGTTAAATAAAATGCAGCATTATCATTATTATTATTATTATTATTATTATTATTATTAATATTAATATTAATATTATTAATTGGGATTACTGGTTTAATCAGTACCAGAGACCTTCTGTGGCTCTTTGCAGCACACTATGCTAATTATGGAAAATGTTTTACCCCTTTAAAATGTGTCTTTCCTCCAAAAGAATAGTCTCCGCACTGTTTGTTCCTCATGTTAGAAATGTATGCTAATGCAAACTTGTCTGACAGTACAGTTTAGCCTTTATTATAAAATGAATGAAAGGTTTCTTTCTTGGAAAGAAAATTGGAAAAGCAGAACATTCCTTAAAGGGTTATCCTCATGCCATGGATTTCTGTCTGTTATAGTGTTCCAGAAGCAACATAAGAAATGTCTTGCTTTAGAGCCCTCAGAGCAAGAACTGTCTTTTATGCACTGCTCATTCATTTACTTCTGTCCTGTATTTCAAACTGCAGGCTATGAATGCCAATAATGAATATATTTGGTGCAAGGAGTGAACACTGAAGTCCGTGTAGAAAATTTTCAATATTCTTGTTTCATGGTATAATATTTGTATAATTTTGTGCTTTATCCAGATTTGTTGCAAAGGGAAATGCATATAGGAACAAAGTGGAGAATTGCACTTTCTCACTTTTAGACTGTAGCTCTAGCATTTTTGGTAACTATGTGTCCACCAATGGTCCTTAAGATTGGTACTGTACTGTTCTAGCTATTTTTAAGGATCAATTAATGGGGATGTCTTCAGTAGTTTAAAACCACATATTTTCATTCTCTGTATTTCTAGCTATTTTTGTGTGAGTTTTTACAGTAATTGTTAGCTGTGTTTCAAAATACTGTTTTTTCTGGTCATGTTCTTACACCAGTTCTACGACAGCAATGGGTGAACACCACTTGGAAATGTGTTAAGGAAAGTAGCAAGCACTTGTAATACATGACTTCTTTCCCTCTCCTTCCAAACAGGCATGGCAGTCTCGCACCTCAGCCTGACATTCAGGCAACTATAGCTGACACTGGCAACTTTACAAAGTAAACAGAGATGTTGCATGTATTGCTGTAATTTGTACATACACAGAGTAGAGTACAAAGGAGAACTAAAAGTGTTTGACTCACCTGTGTGTCACGGGCAGAGTGGGAGCTTCAGAGAAAGTTTATTAGAGAAGTCCCCCCCATTGAGTCAGGAGGCACAGAAGGGACCCTCTTGCTTTCTAAACTCCTTCTCAGAGAGGCATCTAGGTATGGCTGGATCCAGTCTTAGCCCCAAACTTTGCCAATGGTTTATGTCTAAAGGATTATACATGTGGAATTGAACCTTAACACAGCTTTGTCCCACAGAATTAAGAATGGCAATATTTATATAAAAATAAATTACTTATTGCAATAATGATTAGACTAAAAGGTCTTAACCAGAATTATTTACTACAGAGTATTGGTAGCTGTATAGTGCAGTGCAGTATTTTTGACACAATATTGAAGTTATTATATTAAAGCAGTTCTATTGAAGCAATTATGTCAAAGCTAGCAAAAGCAGTTATTAAGCAGAGATTGATGTTACTCAGCCATACCAACGACTGTGAGCAAATCTCGTTCTCAGTCTTGAGGAGTAACCTTGAGGGCCATCCCCACTCCAGAGAGGAATTTTCACACACACTCCAGAAAGAGGGATGTTACAAGATCCTCAGATTAAAAAGTGGAAACTGGGCCATATGTTTCTGGGTCAGCTGTGTCAGCTCAGCATCTTTCAATCAGTTTATCAGTGGTATTACCTGGTTGTCCTATATCAGGTACTTTACCAGGTCTGCCACAGCTTCACCTCACTGTCAGGATGTTTAACTCTGGGACTGATGAGTCAGGCTAGTTTCAGCATTATTCCACACCAAAAGCAGCAGGACAGCCCCCTTCTCCATTCACCCGTAGCTTTGGAGTTGTTTTACCCCCACTCCAGGCAGAGCATCCTGCTACACCATGTCACCTGGGAGATACACCTGCCTGTTACAGGTGAATTGCCTAACAATTCCTTGCCGGTATTTCATGTACATTTCAAATTCACTGGTATTTTTCAACTATGCATTGATGCCTGCCACGTGTAGCAAAACCACGACGAAAATAAAACAAAATGCTAAAAACATAATGACTTTGTGCTTTACTTCATGCATTGCTACATGGGTAAATGTGAATGCGAAAAAGCATGTGAGTTGCACAAAAGATGGTTTACAAACTCAAGCTGATGATTTTGTGCATAATGTGTGATATGTATCACTAAAATATTAGGTATTCCAATGGTTCATTTAGTACGCCAATCTAAATTTTTTCCATTTCCAGTTTTATTTTCAAGTTGAACTTAGAAAGTTGAAGTAAGTGTGGGGTTTTCCTGAAGTAAGTGTGGGGTTTTCTGTTAGAACTGTGCTGCTTTTGTTCCTGCTTTAATGGATTGCTGCTGTAAAAAGCAGGTACTAATAATTGCCAAGTTAAAGGAAAACTGTTGGAATGTTTCTTCTCCCCAGTTCTGTAGAAATAAGATAAAATTTCTCCCAATTCCCTAGTGGCCATACCAGAATGAGTGAACACATTTCCTATCAGTTCCTATCCATTAAGTTCCAGAAAGAGAGAAAAGGGGTAAAAATTCAGTCTAAAGGAAATGTTAGTACATAGTTAATGTGGAACACGTTTTTTTATTCCATCAGTTACTGTCAACATGAAGCTAAGTGATGAAATGCATCAGAAGAGAATATTTCTGTTTAAGTAATTGAGCCAGTATCAATTCTGTCAGTTATGCATATTTTTCAGGGCAGAAGAACTTTGTATTCTAAGTGTTACATATCACTTTGCATATCAGGCTTTGATCAACTGGTAATTTTGAGTCCACAAGCTACGTTTTGCTTCCCTTCTACAGGCAGACCTTGCACTGAATCAAAGGAAGAGCTGTCAGGTTTAAGTACCCTTTGCATTCATTACTGAAAAACAGAAGTAAGACTTTTCCTGAAAGTAATAAATTAGTGCCTTCAGTTATTTCTTAAAATTTCCCGAATTTTACATCCTCTGCATTGAATTATAAATTTGAATGCTATATTGTAGAACTGTTTCCTTGTACTAAACTATTTCACTCTATTGAAGTGAAATAGTGCTTGTATTTTTATATGTGTGTGTATGTTTATATGATATATATGTTTATATGTATCAAACACTGATGATATTTCCTCCTGTCTTCATATATAATTCTCAGTTTGCTTAACCTAATTTTGGATTGATTTTTCCTGGGGTGAGGAGGAGTGTTTATTTCTGTGACTGGGGAACCCAGGTGTGCTACTACTTAGCAAAAAATTTAGTTCAGTGTGAAGGAAATCTTCAGAATATTGAAAACTAGAAAAGAAATTATACTGTATTACTTTTGATGGAAGTGTTAAGTAGATTTCTAGGCAGTTTGTAGAAACAGATTTGTTTAGTCAAAATTAATTGACCAAAAACATTTTTATTAGTAAGAATGGGTGAAACAGTCTGTGTGAAAATGGATTTGTTTAATGAAACTGTTGCAGGGGTAATTGGCCAAGTCTCTGTATGCTGTTGCTATATCCACCACAGAAACAACTCCTTTGACCAAGGAATGTTACTAATATCTCTGCAGCTTTCCTCATGTTGCAGGGGGAATTTAATCTTACTTTGATCTCATTTTTCTCCTTAAAAATTGCATAACATTGAGCAAGGGCTCCTGGACTGGTGTGGGGTAATTTCCTTGATCTCATTCACAACAATTTTTACAGATGAGCCAAAGAAGCTGGTAGCTGTGAGTTCTAGTACAGGTACTGCAGTAAAGAAATTAAATCAAAGATAGTAGATGTAATAATGGCATAAGGGGTTTAGAAGGTTATAATGCTGCTAGTTTCACATTTCAGTTTAAATTGCCGATAATCAAAACCAACTCCTTTTTATATTTTACTGCCAACAATTTAGTAGCATATTTTGTCATGACTGCTAAAAATATGAAGTGTTTCTGGGCCAAATGAATACTGTAAGATTCAAGTAATAAGGCTTTATCAGTGTATTTCCAACAAAATCATCCGTGTCTTTTTGTTTGTTTAACTGTACATAATATGTAGATACAAGCACTCAGTTGTTTCCTAGTCTTACTGTGGAAACATGGTTGTGTCTTGGGGAGTTTTGATACAGAATGCTCTAGCTAGCAAAACCTTTTAGCACAAGTAATTTTTTTTTCATTAGTTCATGTAGAGAGATATCTTTCCTTCTGTTAGACCTGTTTTGCTAAGGTGAAAATTTGAGTGATTTGCCAGCATCTTTTGGCTGAGTATTCTGTATGCCTTGTACATTAAATACAAATGAGCAAAGCAAAGGCACTTAGAACCTTGTACCATAAAAATGGACACAATTTATGTATAATTTTTCCCAAAGTGAAAAATAATTTAACATGTTTTTGCAACATGCATCTTGCATTTAAATATGTATAAAACTATTGACCAAGCATATTTCTAGTAATTTTATATGGCTACAGAGACATCAGCAGTGTTTCTTGCACTCTCCTTGTGCTTGACTTACCTCAGGTTGGATGAAAAGCGTGGTTCAGCAGACTAAGTGGTAGACATCTGTATCATAGCAAATCATCGTAAAGACCCCTTTTCTTATTCAGTGTGTAGCTAGTCAGTCTGTTCAAGGGTGCTTAAAATGCAATTTATCTCTTCCTAGAACAGATGTATACTTCCAGTGTACATGCTGACTTGCATTCCAGTCATCCCAGATTGTACTAACTAGATGGTAGCTGACTGTAATTGGCATTGTAGATTGGGCTTATCTTCCTGTCATTCACATGATTTCCTATTGTTCAAAAAGGAAACTGTCTCTTCAAAGATTGTTTTATCCAGGAGATTGTTTGACATGCAAGGAAACATAAAAAAGTGAAATAACGAAAGGCAGATCTCATGAGGCACTGATTCCATGATTACTTCTAGACCAGTATATTCCAGTAGAGGGATGATCAGCTTTTTAAATGAATTTTA